TTGAAAATGTAAGTAATGTTTGTGATGCAAAATGCATGAAAAGAAACAAAAAATTTAATTTCCTTGATATCTCCGAGCTGCGATGCAAACAAGACCTATAAATAAGTAAAAATGTTGTATCTTTATGATGACACTTGATCCATTTTGTAGTATTTTATTAATTGATGCTCCTACACTTTATAAGACTTTGCTAAGATGACATGAATTTTTCTTGTACATATATATTTCAAGTAATATGGCCTATGAACCAAACCATTCGCGCGTTCAAAACATCAATAAATTGTCACTCAATGAATTCCCACTCGAGACAAGAGAATAAAAAAGGACAAAAAAAATTCAACGTCAAAATACGCGTCTCTTTGCATTGTCTATCGAATATACAAGAGCGGATAACACTCATGGGACGATACCCCACAGCGTCGTAATTGCAGGCCATCACCACTGCCCATTCGAAACGGAAAGCTTCTTCTTCCTCCTTCGTGCGACAACAAATCTGCCCCGGTGTCATACAAATGGCTGTACGGCCGGCGAACCCTCTGCTTGTGTATATCATGGCTGCAGGGATGCCGAGACAGGTATATAGCACGAGGTTATTTACTGTCCCGGGTATGTGTGTATGTCTCCCAGTGGCTTCATGACTTGGCCATATGCCGGCTCGACTGAGGCGCACATGTTCTCAAAATCAATCTGCAACGACGCCCACGCTAAGGACGACTACCCCCATCCCCACCCCCTTCGGTTTTAGCGATTACGGGGATCAGCGTGGCTTTTGGAAAATTTACAGGAGATGATACTCTGATGGGACCATGAATTTTCCTTTGACTGTTTATATTATTTAGTGACATTGTCGATGAGCTTTGATGGGTTATGGATTGGAATTTATGAAATTTAACGTTTTTTTTTTNACACACACACACACACACACACACACACACACACACACACACACACACACACACACACACACACACACACACACACACACACACACACACACACACACACACACACACACACACACACACACACACACACACACACACACACACACACACACACACACACACACACACACACACACACACACACACACACACACACACACACACACACACACACACAGACATATGTGAGTATGCATACACACACACACACACACACACACACACACACACACACACACACACACACATATATATATATATATATATATATACATACACACACATAATAGTAGCCGAATTTCTTGAGTATATATCATTAAGTATTAGTCTCGATGAGCGTAGTTAGATTTCTTCTTACACAAATGTTATTGGAGGATTAACCATATAAAATTAACTGAACTATCGTTGATTCGATGAGTCTGTAAAGTTTGACTAAAGTAAGGTTTGTCGAATGTTCCGTGAGCGTGTATGTATATATATATGTATATATATTAATTTATACACAATTCAGTATAAATGTATACGTAGGTTCCTTCATGCGGAATGTAGTAAAAATGATCTTGACTTTTGCGATAAACTACAAAGTTAAAAAAATCAAAGAGCCCCTCGAAACTTGATACGTAACGTCTCTTTGTCCTTCAATATTTTATAGAGGGGACAGAAACATACTAAAACCAAAGCCTGCATCAACGCGTACGTACGAGTGGTAAAAAAATGTGCGGCAACGCAAAAACGCGAGACTGGTAAATTTTTCATTTTCCAATCACGCGTCGCGATTAAGGCTCTCCGTCACCATGAAGAATTCAACGAAAACAAATCATTCGAGATCGCTGCCGCGCTCCCTCAGTGTGGTACGGGAGTATAGCGCAACAACCTGGGTATAGCTGGTGTACCTGGGCGTATATATACACCAAAAACACGAGCTCGCGGCCATCAGGGGTACAAACGCGGGAGAGAGGCCGGTTGAAAAACGAGCAGTTTCTAGAGCAGTGGCTGGCTTTCCGCTCGGCTTGCGAATTAATCCATCAAAACGCCGTACCGGCTATACCCTCGCCGTCCTCGCATTTTTTTTTTCACCCACTCCCCCCTCCCCTACCCCCCCACGTTAGTCTACCCCATTCCCCACCTACTCCACCCCCTGCAGTCATCCTCTAAATATGGAACGGTGTACAAATAAAGCAAACCTGCTGAAGAGCGCGGCCGCGATTCCCGACTATATAGTCTTGTAGTTCTCTCTCTTTCTCTCTCTATATATATATATTTATGCTCTATCTTTTTCCCAGCGAGCAATGAAGTTGTGGGATTCAATCCCACCAACTATCCGACTGCGGGACTCGCTTGGATCATTTAAGTTAGCATATTACAACTATCTGTTTGAGCAAAATAGGAGTACGTAAGCAGTTATCTAGCGCAAAACAGCAAATTATATAGCTCTTCGTTTTCTTTGTTCTTTTGTCTGATACTCATGATTTGTATTGTCACCATCCTGCGTCGTGAAGTTATAACTTTGTAAATTAAGATGTATATTGTAGCGATACCATACACTTAAGAGTTCATAATGCTTTGTATTGCTGATGTAAATATTGCAAATGCTGTTAATGATTGTGATTTAGATTTAAATTTATTGTTTACTATTAATAATTATACGATGTATGCCATGTAAAATTGCTTTTGCCATACGGGTGTCTATCATCCTTGGCATTAATAAATTTTGTTAAATTCAAAATTCTCTCTCGAGGCAAAACCTCCGAGTTTGTCCCGCAAGCATTACCATATATTTTCATAATTGTGTAACGTCTCGTTAATAGTACAAAGGCAGACCCATACTGATAAATACAGTTTTACTCTGTCGCTTGAAGGAGAAAAAAAAAAAAAATGCAAGTACTTCGAGTTTTTATCGGAAAAGGTCAAATGGGAGCGCAAAGCCGTGGATTTTTCTTTCTGCGCTCGCGCGTCCTTTTCCTCACGCTATTACGAAACTATATATATATATGTGTGTGTGTGTGTGTAGAAACACAGGACGGATACAGTGCACATGTACATAAATATATACAAAGTAGAAGTTGTACGTGTGGACAATGTATATACATACACGGGCAAAGAGCGAGGGCGCGTGATCAATATAAGCGATGACACACAACGAAAGCTCATCTGAAAAGCCACGCCCAGCCACGCGAGTTACGTCCAATGGGCACGGACCGGAGCAAGGGCTTTCGACCAATGGGGCACGCCCATTGATTTTTCCCAGCTCACCCCCTCTCGCTCGCTCTCGCCACTGCGACATGCGTATGGGTTTAACCCTCTTCCTTCGTCTCTCCTCGAAAGTGAATTTCTTCCGATGGGGGTGAAAAAGAGAGAGAGAAGAAGGAGCTTGCGACAGGGTGTAAAAGAGATAGAGAGCCAGACCAAGGACGAAGCGCTGCGCGTGGTGGTGGCGGCGTCGAGTTAACGACAGATAAAGACGGGGAGAATCGATGTGGGTGAAGTCTCTCTCTCTATCTCTATCGCTGCTTATCTCGTTGCGTCCTCCCCGGCCACCCCCTTTTTTTCGCAAGCTGGCTCCTTTTTTTTTTCTCTCGCTCCGCCATCCCGCGTACGTACAATATGGCTTTTTTTTGTCTGCATAGGCACACACACCCAACGAGCCACCTCTTTTTTCCTGCTCCGGTATTTCACCTCTTAGCGCCCTCTTTTTGCCCTTCCTGCCTCCTCGCTCTTCCCGTGCACCATTTTCCTATATACCTCCCGAGCAGAAAATGAATTAGGGATCTGATCAGTCCCTGATCACGCTATCCTTTTTAGTGATCAGTTCCTGATCACGCTTGTAACGCTTATCTGACCAGGTACTGGTCAGACAGCATGATTTTATGCTTACTTATTCTGACCGCACATGCGCATTGCTTGATCTGTGAATCTTTGTCATCTAAGTTATAACCATCTAATTTGAATATATGATTTTTATTTTCTTATCTTTATTATAAACATAAGTATTTGTATGTATAATAATTGCTAGTCGGAATTTGAGAATGCAAATTAGAGTTTATTTGTGAATCGCTACTATCAGAACTTACAGACTCACCAATACTTTCTTCTGTTTCAAACGTGTTTTTGTTTGAATTATCACTAGTATTAAAACATTCTTTAGATTTGGTTTTTTCAAAATAGTTGTCCGGGTTAACTTCAAAGTTACATTGGGTCTCATGAGATGGATTAAAATATTTATTTTCATTTCCATAGCTGCCTTCAAAATACGTATTTTTGCACACTTTGTAACTGTTATTGGTGACCTGTGATGTTTTAACGGTTGTAAACGTAGTTGCATTTTGTGCATTAAGTAAATTATCTGGTTTGTTTGTTTTGATGTTATTTTCAAAATTATCACTGTCACTGCTATCACTACAAGAACCAACTTTTTGAGTTAACCTATACTTACGGACTCTATATTTGGTAAGCAAAGCCTTTCTTTTTTGCTGTCCATTTTTTAGGAATTGTAGTCAACTTAATAATTTTTTTTTTATTCATATAATAGTTATCTTAGTTTGCTTTTACTCATATATTTATAAAAATTTGACTTATTTTGGAGCAGTATTTATATATACCAGACGCTCTAAGGATGAAATCATGCTGGCTGACCAGTACCTGATTAGATAAGCGTTACAAGCGTGACCAGGACCTGATCACGATGACTGATCAGGGCCTGATTTGAAATAAGGATGTCCTCATTTCATTTCTGCTCGGGCTCCTATATGCTTTTTCTCTCGACACACACACACACAATATCGATTGTCCTCTCATCGTCCTCTTCGATTGCGGAGCTTTTTTTTGTTTCCCGCGTAAACGCTTTTCGGACAAAGGAGCTGCACCTGCGCTTACACTTACTTTCCCAACGACTCGCCTCAAATTTTCGCGCTTTTCCTTACGAGCGATTTATGCACGGTTTTCCAGTGTATCTACCCATCAAGGATTCCCTTCCAAGAGTCTCTCTGCACACGCATACACATATATAGGTACACAAGTCATGAGCTCGCAGCGAGTGGAGGATATCCCGCGCGATGAATGTTTGATGCTACTTATACAAGTATATGTCGTTCGCAGAGGGAATTCCTGAACAGTGGAATTCGAAGTGGAGGCGCGCGGGTAAATGATGCGAAGTACGAGTGGGTTAATTTTTTTTTTTTTTTTTTTCCCCAATGCTTTAGATGTTGCGACGAGTGTAATAATTGGAGGGAACTTTCTCGCTCAATGGACAAGCCCGTGCTGTTGCATTATTGAGAGGAATCAAGTTGGCCAAGAGTACAGCATAATGTAGCTCGTACGCGCGTTGGGGATTATTATAACGCTCGTTCGTTTGTGTGGATGATGGACGTTCATCAGATTTAACATCAGAAGGAATTTTTAATGCCCATCGCGGGGCGAAAATTCGAATCAATCGGTGTAACGTAATTGCAGCGCCGTATGAGTGATAACCACATGTACGCTCAACACTATTACGTAAATGACAGTTACAGACATGGGATGTTTATTGATTTTTCGAAGCTATTTTTGTACTCGTTCCGATGATAATGGCGTACAGATAAATCTACACTTTTTTTTTTGTCATTCCTTGACATTGAACAAGTGCACGGCGGTGAACAGGGAAGTCATTGTTGTGGCATGTAATTAGTGGGGGGGAAAAAAAATTTACAATCATCGATAGCGCTGATTCTTTGTTTTCAAAATTACCGTTTCACATTATATACTATATGTGGGTCAGGTGCGTTGGACAGTTAGCCATTCGTGAATAAATTTTTTTTTTTCCCAATAGTTGCGTAATGAATGTAAATAACATCTGGAATACTTTTCCACGAATTGTTTCAGCTGGAAATGCTTTTTATTCATTGTGAAACTTTATGAATTTGTTAGCATCAAAAATAAAAATATGTTTTCCATACCTTAACTATACTGATAAATCACTTATATGTATCGAAGATTCATGGACAACGCCAAAGTTTATTTTATTAAAAAATTCGACGGAGAAATGTGTTTTTTCACACAATTTGACGAATAAAATTTCACCGCGAACATTAATCGCTTTAAATTACGAGTTGTACGATGTACATAGGGAAAATCAAATGGCATCGATATGCAGGTAGATAATTGAGAATGATTATCGTTCACGGAGCAGAGAATCGTAATTTACTACAAAAACCCGGATTGCGGCGAGTACAACATGAGCATGTAGTATAAAAAAAAAAAAAAAAAAATGAGATGTCCAATAAATTACGCACTGTGTGCTGGAGAGTCGAAAAAGCCGGGATATCGAGAAAAAAAAGATATAAATTGCGTAATATGATCGTAGAGAGAAACGTGACGTAGCGTATTTAGGGTGTGGACAAAGAGGTGTGTCAGCGCTAAGAGCATTAGGAAAAAAACAACGCTCAGCTGTAGTAGAATTCATTGTAACCACTGAGTCTTGGGAAAAACTATTGTTACAGCTTTGATCTTATTTGACGACAAAAATTCGATACGGAAGCATTGGCACTTTTTTGGTGCGTTGGTAAAATGCTTACACAATCAACTCTGCCATTTTTCACGACAATGGTTATTACATTAAACTTTAATGCGCCTAGAGAGGAAACTTGAGGTTTTTCAAAGAAATAAATAGCAGAACTTTATACGATAAGAGTAACATTACATCAATATCAATCCAAATTTTATCTCCCCACGGGAACTTATTCACTGTGGCATAATACATCGTCAGCTGAGTAAAAAAAAATCTTACATCAGCATTTAAATTTAAAAATATCTTGTATAAAACTAATGTTTAATAAGATTTCGTCTTGGAATGATATTGTTTTGAGATCAGGCATTTTTTAAATTATTTGGGATACAAGGTTCCTTTACCAAGTTGACGACGGAATGTTGTAAATTATTAATTAACACTTTTATTGAAAAATTTAGGTTTCTTCATAAAATCGTATCTGTAAAGAAGCTTGGATCTGGAGTAAACATTTTTTTAATTGACTAAGTACAACAGAATAGAATCGGTCTTCAAAGAATAGGAAAATAAGTTGGCAAATTGGCTTGTTAAACTACGCGTTAGTTTATTGTAGTCGAGAGAGTACATCTGTGCACATTGGAGTTGTTTAATATCCCATATGCCGCAATCTCGGTATGGAAGACGAATATTCAATAAAAAAACTGCAACTGAAGACGTGCTTATTTGTCTTCTAAGGCTCCGGAGGAATTCGAACACCCTCGATCTCCTGTTTACTAGACAGGCGCTCTAACCAACTAAGCCACGGCGCTATTGGATCATCTAGAGTTTAAGGTAAAATCAAGACTTCGGATTAGTGCTTGTAAGTTGAACAGAAAATGAAAGACTGATGAGTTATTCTTACATCACAGAAATTTTTTTTTTTTTTTTTCAAGTATTCATAACAAATTTATATATTTAGATTGTATGATTATGATCTATGAGATACAATAAAGTGGCTTCATAATTCTATTTACTTACGCTATTATAACAATAGTTAAATAAAAAAGTTTCTTAAGGACTCTCAATCTCAAATACAATATTTCGGTAGGTACATGATATGTAGCACACGTTATAACTGAAGCAAGACTAGAATTGTTAAACTATGGGAAATTTTAATTACAACTCTTCTTCTGTTACAATGAAATTTGAAAAAAAAAGTTATCGCCGTATCTATCTGGTACCCAGCATCAGCAAAGTTTTCGAATCGGATTTCAATAACCAACTAAATACCTTCTGTACATTAAATAAAATTACACCCAATGAACAATTTGGATTGAGATACAAGCACTCAACCACTCATGCCGTCATTAAATTACTGAATGATACACGTCACCATTTAAATAAAAATTGTTTAGTGGCAGCATGCCTCATCGATTTAGAGCAAGCGTTTGATAGTCTCTGGGTAAAAGGTTTACTATTCAAACTTACTCAAAAAAGATTTCCTTCGCTCATTATAAACATTCTGTTCAACTCTTTTCAAAATAGAGAATCATATGTAACCAACTTTAACAATAAAAATAAATTCTGAGTACAAGGGCTACCTTAATTTCCAAAAACAACTTTCTAAGCAAAAAATAAGTGAATACATCAGCAAATAAGCATTACAAACCCAAATCAATGAGGTACACTATAACATTTGGTTTTATAAAATATGACTGCTACACGAATAAATTAATTTTTCAATCAGTGTATAATGTTAAAATAAAAAAATCAATGTCTAAAAATTAATAAAAAATAAATGCAATAAGTATGGAGGCGCCGGGCATCGATCCCGGTACCTCTCGCATGCTAAGCGAGCGCTCTACCATCTGAGCTACGCCCCCCGATGAGGAATGTTGTGCTAAATATGTACTTGAGTATGGCGTGGCTCATGCAGCCAAATTTTTGGTACGGTTTTTTAAAAATTATTCAATAAAATAGAGTAAAAGATGTTTTCAAAGATTTTCGTGTAGTTATTTATATTGTTTATTGTAAAAAAAATACAATAATACATGATGAACATCGCAATAACAATATCAGTGCGTGAAAGCTTCACGAAAGGTATATATTGTATCATTGACAAATTAAAAATTTTTTTTGATTGTCTAAGCAGTGTTATTATTATTATTATTATTATTACTATTATTGTAATTATAGCAACATATGGTAGTAAAGTTGTTGTCAAAATATTTTGAACCAACAAAGACAATTCCTAACTTATCAGCTCTTTTCATGCGTTGTATTTTTTTATGTCTAGGATCTTTTTTTAATCTAAAACTTGAATATATAAAACAGTGCAAATAAAACTTCAAGTAATATTGATTCAAAGCGTATAGCATTACATGATAAGTAAAAAATAAATAATTGTAATGACAAACCAGAAATTATTATAAATTTCAAATGATAAAATGAGCGATACATAAACGAAATTTTAAATTGTTTTGTTACGTACGGTAGCACGATGTATTAACTCAGTATTTTTTTCCAATAGTAAACTTTGCAAATTTTTCGGATCGAAGCTTAAATCGATAGAGGCTTACGCAAACTTTAGTTTCTCTTATTACACTGTACGTGTATAAAAAAAATCAATCTTTTATAAATTTTTTTAGTAGATGACGACTGTTTTCTAATTTGCGAAAGCAAAAAAAAGGGCTCGGCCGGGATTTGAACCCGGGACCTCTCGCACCCTAAGCGAGAATCATACCCCTAGACCACCGAGCCACGTGATCGGGCATCGCTTAAATGATGATTTAACTTTACCGACTACAGGTTTCGTGTTCATTTTGTACGGTAGATACATATGATGCAGGTTGCCATATGCGTATTTGAAAAAATTACGTGTACTTATAATGTTTGGAANTTTTTTTTTTTTTTTTTTTTTTTTTTTTTTTTTTTTTTTTTTTTTTTTCTCTTCAATTGAACGCAAGTAGCACTGGCAAATTCCTCTGGGACGGAGGTTTCGATCATTGAAGCTGTGGTTTGTTTTGCGGGTGTACGGAGTCGAAGGACTGCAGAAGCACATACGGAACACGGTCGAGTTGGCCAAGTTGGTCGAGACGTTCGTGAGGAAGGACGAGAGGTTTGAGGTCGTGTTTGGCGCGAACATGGGACTGGTGTGCTTCAGATTGAAGGTGAAGGGAAAACCACGAATAATGAAAAAACTTGAATATTCATAACAGAGGAAGAACGTTTGGTACGATTACGGTGACTGTTGTATCGTTGCAGGGGAATAACGATTTAACGAAGCAGCTGCTCGACAAATTGATGGCGAGACGGAGAATTTACGTGATTCCCGGGGCCTGTGGTGACAAACTGCTCGTGCGATTCGCTATCTGTTCTCGTTTGACCATGCAAGACGACATTGAATTTGCTTGGGAGGAAATTAGCGGCCGAGCCACCGAAGTTTTGCAATCAAAGTCGCAACCGCCGTTCAATGCAACGGCCAATGATTTCGACGCTTCGAGGAAGAAATCCGGCGAATTAGTCGCCAGAATAAAGAAGCTTGAGATCGAGGATACAAAAATCAATTCCAAGAGCTCGTGAATACAGCCAATTGTCTGTAATCGTCATTTTATTGATCACTTTGCATTTTATATATTTTATCCTTGTTATAAGTAGATTTAGATATAATACCGACGAAAAAACATGTACATACTTACGAAGTAATACTAGACGTATTTTGCCTTCAATACTTATTTTGATATATTTGATTGAGTTACATTACTTTTTCGAAGATATTACGTATATACAAAAGAAATTCATCAATAAATTAGTTTTATCATACGTATAGTTGGCTTATTTTGCATTTTTAATTACATGTTCACTGTCAGTACGTTATATACTTTACACTCTATGCTATCGACTTATCGACAATATACATATACCTTTTTCAAGATATTATACCTCCTCTGATATAAAAACTTGTATTGTAATACACATTCACCTCACTCGTTTTATCAGCAGTTGCATTAAATTTTTAATTTCGATTAAATCCATTGAGATAAAATTAGCTGAATATACGAAAATTTCAAAAGTCAAATGCCATGTGATAAACGTGGTATCAATACTTTTTCGTCGAAGCTTTTTTTATTTTTGTTACCTCTCATATTGGCTTAAGCTGCAGTCAGTTTGAGCAGTAATAAATTACATCTTTTAAACACAAAAGATTTCCATCATCTTCAGACTTTTCTCGGCACCGTCCAAGCACTTAAAGATACAGCTCCAGACAAAGTATTAGCAATGGAAATCCGCATTGAAATGTCGAGTAGTTTTATCTGATTTCAAAATTTAAACGAGCAATTTGATGCTCAATCGTGTGGATAATTTACGAATATTTAAACATTCGTTGGTGGAAATTGCGAGAATCTGAAAAAAAAAAAAAAAAAAAGGAATAAATCATTTTATATGACTCAATTATTACAATCTTCAGTAGTACCCGATTATACAATGGTATCCGGTATAAATTTCAAGGATCGACGTCGTTGTGTTCAAATTGAGGGATTAAAAACTAGCAATTTTAGTGCATTGTATTTTTTTTTCTTTTTATTTTCTTATTGAAAGGTAATTACAAGATGCGATGGTCCGATTGCGTGTACAGTGCGTTTGCACTTTATATGGTGTATATATATGTACGCATACATATAATACGGACAAGCAGAACTCGTTACTCGAGTATACAGCAAGGATTTCGATCAATTATTCAAATTACAGATTCACTATGATTGTTCCGATATGAAAATAATGATCAAATGTGCCTCTGGTATTTTTTTTTTTTTTTTTTAATCTTAACATCTTGCGTTAGTAACAGCAATTTTTTTTTTTTTTTTCAATTCCTTTATTAAATATAATCGCTGATTACGATGTCTACAGGGATCCGCGAGTGAGGCAACCCTCGTTGGTTTATTAGCTACCAGAGAAATAACCGTTAATCGGATCAAGAAGGAACATCCCGACTGGGACGAGGGAATCATCAGATCGAAATTAGTGGCTTACACATCTGGTGGGTATATACTTTGTGATACTTGTACATTTTAAGTAATAACTTGCTTAAAACACAATCAACCCAACTAATCCCTTTTTTTTCTTTCCATTCATGAAAAAAGCTCAAGTGACGCGTACATATGTACAGTATGAAATAATTTTTGTTGCTCAGATCAGGCGAATTCGAGCGTGGAAAAGGCCGGTTGCCTCGGCGCGATGATCATGCGGCTCTTGCCGACCGACGACCACTGCCGGCTACGAGGCGCCACCCTACGGGAGCACATCGACAAGGACATCGAGGCCGGCTTGATACCCTGCTACGTGGTGGCAACCCTCGGCACCACACCCACCTGCGCCTTTGACGACCTCGAGGAGATAGGGCCCATCTGCAGGGAGCACAACATATGGCTGCACGTTGACGCGGCTTATGCGGGCGCGGCCTTCGTTTGCCCCGAGTACCGTCACCTCATGTCGGGAGTCCATTATGCCGACTCGTTCAACTTCAACCCGCACAAGTGGCTTCTCGTCAACTTTGACTGTTCGGCTCTATGGTCGGGACTCCCATCCAAGCCTATGGCACAGAATCTCCTTTGTCCCGTACCCACGTATCAATGATCTTGTGTTTTTTTACAGGGTCAAAGATTCGCGTTACCTAACCGAGGCGTTTAACGTCGATAGGATATACCTGGCGAACAATAAGCAAGGCGCCGCGCCTGATTACAGGGTAAATATACATATATAGTTTGTAAGAAAAAAAAATCTAATATCCCTTAGCGCGTGTAATTCATGCCACGTGCCATCTGTGCAAAAATAACTGCTTATTTACTTAAAAATTTTTTTTGATTGTCTAAGCAGTGTTATTATTATTATTATTATTATTACTATTATTGTAATTATAGCAACATATGGTAGTAAAGTTGTTGTCAAAATATTTTGAACCAACAAAGACAATTCCTAACTTATCAGCTCTTTTCATGCGTTGTATTTTTTTATGTCTAGGATCTTTTTTTAATCTAAAACTTGAATATATAAAACAGTGCAAATAAAACTTCAAGTAATATTGATTCAAAGCGTATAGCATTACATGATAAGTAAAAAATAAATAATTGTAATGACAAACCAGAAATTATTATAAATTTCAAATGATAAAATGAGCGATACATAAACGAAATTTTAAATTGTTTTGTTACGTACGGTAGCACGATGTATTAACTCAGTATTTTTTTCCAATAGTAAACTTTGCAAATTTTTCGGATCGAAGCTTAAATCGATAGAGGCTTACGCAAACTTTAGTTTCTCTTATTACACTGTACGTGTATAAAAAAAATCAATCTTTTATAAATTTTTTTAGTAGATGACGACTGTTTTCTAATTTGCGAAAGCAAAAAAAAGGGCTCGGCCGGGATTTGAACCCGGGACCTCTCGCACCCTAAGCGAGAATCATACCCCTAGACCACCGAGCCACGTGATCGGGCATCGCTTAAATGATGATTTAACTTTACCGACTACAGGTTTCGTGTTCATTTTGTACGGTAGATACATATGATGCAGGTTGCCATATGCGTATTTGAAAAAATTACGTGTACTTATAATGTTTGGAAACTATTTTTTTTAATTTTTAGCTGTAAATCACAAATAAAACGTGAAGTAGATTCAGTGATTTTATTTTCATCTCACCAGCATTTATGTACATTTATTGTAAATACTGTACATTACGCTTCATTTTGTGAATTTGTACATTTATCTTATGATTTAATAAAATTTTTAATTACTTAAATTTCGAAGGTAGAACCGAATGCAAGCATATATTTCACTTTCAGCATGAAAAAATGAATTCTACACGGAAAATACAGTTTCTTATCGATTTATTATTCATCGAACTGTTGTTTCAGTATGTATCATATTGACGCAAGATGTGTGTAATTTGATAAACGTGATCTCACGTTGATTCATCGACTGTACACTGCCTTTTCAAACTAAAAAAGTAAATTAAAAAAAATAGAAAATACCAGCCTCATACAGTTGCAACAACATTTTCGTGAGATATCATACACAAGTATACCTTCTTTTGCTCTTTTCTTAATTTCATTAAGTAATAAATTAAAATTATATTAACCAATCTGTTATTCTCCATAGCTGTTAGAGTCTTTTTAAATAACTGGTCAAATTTTTACTTATATATATCACAAGCGCTTGACGAGGTGACAGTGTGTAGGTTGCGATTCAACCATGCGTACATCAATGAATCTGAAAGTCACCTACTGTCATTTGGTCAAGCGGCTCGTTGGTCTAGGGGTATGATTCTCGCTTCGGGTGCGAGAGGTCCCGGGTTCAAATCCCGGACGAGCCCAGCGGTTTATTTTTGGTTGTATTCGATTAGTGATAAGGTATCAATCCATCGATGTTGAAAAATATTATATAACATCAAGTATCAATGTCGCTTTAACACCAAAAAATTGGGTCACTTACGGTTTTATATCAATGTTTTTATTCGAAACCTATCATTATCGAATCACGAATTTTATAAGCATTTCGTTTAAACGATGAATACTTTTCCAGCAATCCTGTTTATCCTATTATAGATCTATCTTCCATTGCATTGCTTGTATTTAATTGAAAAAAAGGTCCTTGATGAACGGTCTATACGTACTAATCCGGAAGAAGAGTTTCTTACGTTTCACGTTAAAAATGTTATCTAACAAATCACAAAGAAAAAAGTATTCCCTTTAATATTTCCTGGTTTTCTGTACGTTAGATGTGTCATTTAGAATAAATGGAATAGTCCGAAGAAAATGTTACGCATCGATAAAAACAATGGGCAACAGTATAAAGTGTAATCCATTATTTGTATTAATTTGACTAAAATTGGCTGAATGGTCTTATAATTATATACTTAAATAAAATCTTGCGGTTAGTAATGTTGTCTCTCTACAGCATCTGAGTAAAAATGCTACTTCTTTAGATATTAAATAAAATGTGTTTTAGAATAAGTTTAAAATATTTTGGGGACATGCCATGGTCAATTTAAGGCTGTCAGAACACAATTGCATTAGACATGGAGTGTGGTGTTTCCTCTTCAGCCAGCAACACTTGCGTACGAAAAATAAAAGAAAAAAAACGACCGAATACATAACGCTACTATAGTCTTTAGAATGTATAAAAGAGAAGGGGTGGGCAGTTCTCGGGACAGTTATGTGATAGCCGCGCTCCGTGAAAGATCTCTTTAAACATTAAAAGGCAAAATTTTTTTTTTTTTGTTACCAACTCACTGTGACTTTTGGCATTTCAATTTAAGATAAACATAATATTAATACTTAACACATCTTACGTGTTGGAATATTTTTAACATTATTTAATAAATTTAAACGAGTTGTCGTACTAGCATCCAATTCTGCCAGATTATTGTAATATACATACGTAAGTTATGCCGTACTTGATTAACTTATTATTTGCCTGAAGCTGTGTGCAAGCCAATACTTTAATTAAGAACGAGTGAATCGAGTTGTTTTCATTTTGAATATTGATAATTTTTGTCATTTTCACCGAATACCTTTAAATAAGATTTTAAAATGATCAATTGCTTGGAAAAAAAAAAAAATTGACATTTACTTCCTAAGGTCACTGTAAATAAAATCTCACGTGTACGTATATTGATTAATGCACGTTTGACCTAAAAATGCGCATGTAAATAATCCCCGAGAAAGTAGGAGAAAGTCCCAGTATACCCATCTTCGAAAAACTTCCGCCACTCTGTCAAACCCACTGTCAGAGACCAACGATGGTCCTCGCGCTCACGAAGCGAGTAAAAAAAAAAAAAATCTTGACGCATACCGTTAGTCTCGAGTGCTCGTAAGGATTCCTCTTAAAAAAATGTTTATTTTGTTTCTGCGGTATCCGCTCGGTTGGTTCACTGGACAGTACCAGAATGGACGACAAGGAATTCCGCGAGTTTGGAAAAGCCATGGTGGACTACATTGCCGATTACACCGAAAATGTGAGGGATCGCGAGGTACTGCCACACGTGAAGCCGGGTTATCTCTGTGATCTCATACCCAAAGAGGCCCCCCAGAAATCGGAGTCGTGGCGTCAAATTTTGGATGATGTTGAAAAGTGCATCATGCCCGGAGTAAGTTTTTTTCACGAGTTTGTAAGAAAAAAAAATCTAATATCCCTTAGCGCGTGTAATTCATGCCACGTGCCATCTGTGCAAAAATAACTGCTTATTTACCCGCGAAATGTGCTGTTACCTAAACATTGTTGTAAAGTTGTTGATCAGACCAAGAATCGCAACAACAAAAATATAATCAGTAGAAATTCTTAAATAATTACAAAAAAAATCTCATTTTTTTTGTTTGACCCAAAAAAAAGATGACCCATTGGAGTTCACCGCACTTCCACGCCTATTACCCGACGGCCAACTCGTATCCGGCGGTGGTGGGCGAACTTTTGAGCGCCGGAATCGGTTGCATCGGATTCTCCTGGATCTGTTCGCCAGCCTGCACAGAGCTGGAAGTCATCACGATGGATTGGCTGGGAAAAATGCTGGGTCTGCCGGAAGAATTCCTCAACTCACACGACGGCCCAGGTGGTGGTGTACTGCAAGTATGCATCATTACTATTGTTAACATTGTCATGACTAGGCATCAAGTGGCCTCTAATAGTACGCTCGTTTTTATAATTTTACAAAGTTGTAAAGTAAAGTGGTATAACAACGCTTTAAGAACTTTGAAAAAGTTCATTCATTTGTATAATATTGAGGCTCATAAGTTAGCTCAACTGTTTACTTTGGATGCTATCACCCAGCTGACACTACAGATAACACCTACATTGGTCATAAATTACAAGAAAATCAATGTAAAAGTAGTTAAAGTAGTCTAAAAATGATTTTTGATTGAAAAAGTCAGCGGGTATTTACAGCGTAAAACGTTGTGTGCTATTAAAAGGAAGGGGTATTTTGGTCGTACTTTGCGTGTTCTTTTTTTCCTTTTACTCTAGATTTGATAGCGAAAATATTTCATCAACTCGAATCATTTAAATTAGCTATTGAAGAGAAAATAAGAATAATAATTTAAATATAGCAGGTTAAAAAATTTCGTTCTTAAATATATATGTTAAGATAGTATCGGTGCAAAGAGAGTAT